GATGGAAGTCACTTCTATCTTAGTGACTTCTCTTGATTTTTATTATCCCTAACTTTTTCCTGAACTGTTTCAATTCGGATTTACATTCAGCAGGATGCCCCAATTTTGTCTAAGCATCTTTAACAGGTTTTGACTTAGCGAAATTTTATTTGGTTTTTCATTTAATTCTATTTTGGAAAGATAATGACTGTCTGACTTAATGATTACGGTGAAACATCATTGGATTTTGATTTGAGACATCTCCGACACTTCTTTGATTTATGCGAAGGAAAACTTGATTGCAACCTTTATTAAAAGGTGTCTTGTAAAATTCTCTTGTATTGAATGCACAGTCAAGGTAACTGAGAACTACCCTTCCCCAGGTTAAGATTGCAGGTTTTTTGTACAAAAAGAAACTCCAACTTCAAGGCTCAAAGGGGAGAACGAGGGATTAACTTCTGTATTTCTCCAGCGTTTGGGAGTTGAAACAATGCCCTACATCATTAGCTAAGTTTCAATTGAAAGCATACAAACAATAATTATGAGTATTTCGTTCTCATCATCCTCTCTTCAATCTTTGCATAAACAAAAGTTTAATAAGGAAAGTAAACAAGGGATATACAAAGAAGTAATTGAAACCATAAATTGATTCAAAGATACTCATTTCATTAAAATTAACATGGGAATAAACAAATTTTAAAGCAAACACCAAATACAATCAAAAGGAAAATGCAAATTGAAAGAAACAAGGCCAAGTAACTAATCAACAACAAGGATGAGATGCCCTGTCTAGAACACTAGCTGGGGAGAAATTGGCTTGAACCAACTGAAGCTTCACTTGCCATGTCCTGGCAACATATTATTTTTGACATTAGGACCAACATCTTGGCAGGACAAAATCTTTGCCTTAATAAATTCTTGAATTCTAGTCTACCATTCTTCTTCTGACATTAACTCTAGTTTCGTAGTTGTGTTGAGGAAACAACTTGATAGTTGATAGATAACTCAGAATAAGGAGACAACGAGAATGACATACTGAACAACTTGAAAGTATGCATAATTTATGCAAAGGATGCAAATGATATACAAATGTTGGTTTTTCTTTAACTTTCAAGGAACTCAAGATATTAAATTGTAAACATCAAAGCATGAGGAAAGTAAATTCTAAATTAGATCAAAGAATTGATTAAGTCATCATCAAAGTCAATCATCCATTTTGGTGGATTAGGATTTTCACCCTATCAACACCCAAGATTCATTGAATTTGATGAAACTTATGATATTTATAAAGAAAGACCCCTAAATTCCTTTAAAACCAAGTGAGAAAGAGTTTCAGGGATGCATGAATGTATGGTTATGCAATGATCACAAATAAGATCACAAGCAAGGTTCAGAGGTTCGACGTCACGAGCATGGAGTCAAAGGTATGAACCACCCATAAGGTATGGACTAGGATTTTCAAATCACCTGTAGATCAATGTTATTAGGAATTCCAAAGTCTACATTCTTCTTTCGGATATTACCAACTTCTCGATTACTCAGTAATTAACAATGTTCTCAAGAAAAACTCGTCCGAGTGCACCATCGCGTGACAACTACTTCCGGATTACTCTATTATAGTCTTCGTACTATATCTAAAAGGCCAAGATGGGTTAAGGGTTCTACGGCTTCTCAGCTTCTCTGGCTCCTAGGTCGAAAGCAACAATACCTTACCGATTACTCGGTAAACGAATAGTATAGCCAAAGGGGACTCCAATGAGTGGAGGATCTCATGCCTCCTTTTTCGGGATTACTCCCTCAAAGTTAACATGACTATATCGTCCATCATAATCTTAAGTTTGTCCAAGTCTAGGTATAGGACTTATAAGATGTCACCAAATACCCAAAGAATCAAGCAAATCCACATAAAATAGAAAACAAGTAATAATAACATAAACACAGATATAACAAGTTAGGCTTAACCCTATTAGAATGCATTCCCAGCAGAGTCGCCAATTCTGTAGCGGTGAAAATTGGAGATCAAAATATTAATTAACTTGACTCGCAAATAAACAAGAGTCGTCGCCACGCTTTATTATTTCCAAGGTAAGAGGAAAAGAGCGAAATAAAACTCATAAGTAAATATGCAATGCAAGAAGTAAAAACAAGTGCAATAGAGAGATCAAAAGTTTGGGGGTTGATTATACAAAGGGAATGTGTTAGCACCCAATGCATCTGTAGTACTCTACAAGAACCTCTTATTATATTTATATATTAAAATTAGTTGTTTGCTAAAATATTAGTTTAAAGGGATTTTGAAAATACAACCACCTAATATCGAGGTTTTGGCTTAAAAGAGTGTAAGTTTAAAAATTAAGAATTTTGGAGATCTAACTTAAGACTAGCAAAACTTAAAGATGGATGAAGGAATTCACACAATCATATAAGATGCATTCGATGACATGAAGTCAACAAATTAATCTTTTCCCTTGGATTCAAAGATAATAATCAGATGAAGACCGATAAGAACCATGCATCAAATAAAAATGGATAGTATTCATAGTCCAAGGATTAAAGAACTAATTTTAGGTTTTTTTTCTTTATTAAGTGACTTATAACAAGCAAAAAGAAAAAAGGAAGCTCAAGTGAGCAAAGAGAAGACAAATGCTCAAGTGAGCAAAGAAAAAAATGCATAAAGTAAAGAAAAGAAAATGCTATGGATGATAAATGACATAAAAGTAAAGAGAGGAAAATATAAAGTGCACAAATATAAATGACATTAAAGTAAATGGATTCAAAGATAATAATCAGATGAAGACCGATAAGAACCATGCATCAAATAAAAATGGATAGTAACCATAGCCCAAAGATTAAAGAACTAATTTTAGGTTTTTTTCTTTATTAAGTGACTTATAACAAGCCAAAAGAAAAAAGGAAGCTCAGGTGAGCAAAGAGAAGATAAATGCTCAAGTGAGCAAAGAAAAAAATGCATAAAGTAAAGAAAATAAAATGCTATGGATGATAAATGACATAAAAGTAAAGAGAAGAAAATATAATATGCGGAAATATAAATGACATTAAAGTAAAGTTGATATAATATAAAGTTAATAATCTGATTTGAGATAAATATAAATTCATATGGAGCATACAATGTATGTACCCATACATGTTAGAGATGTGACACTTTGAAGTTTATTCTCTTATACATGTAGTACAATTAACAAACATGTGGAATCGAAACAAAGTCAAGGAAGATATATTATGACAAATTTATCATCAATCCCAAGTACCTTGAATGATCACAAGAACATTTAGAGGTAGATTAAAAATGATGAAAGTTCATCAAATATCCGACAAGCTTAAATAAACTGAAAAAAGCCCAAATACTTTTCAAATTGATCTAAATAAAAATAAAAATAAAAATAAAATAGATAAAGAAGAATAAGGTGAAGTCTATAATAAAAATAGTATAAATGTCATAACTTTCTCAATTTTTCATGAAATTAAACAAATGAATAATGAAAATTTGTCTACTCAATCTCACGACCGAGGATCCATGCTCAAAATAAGTAAATAAATAACAAAAAATAATAGAAAAAAATGAAAATTAAACAACAATAAATCACTTTTGCTTTTGGAGGTTCAAGAACACTTTTCAACTCTAAATTTTGAATCAATTGAGTTTTCTTCCAAAATGGTTATAATTATGGTACTAAATAAATAAATAAAGAGTAAGAATGCAATAGAATTAAATAAAGAATAAGTATAATAGTCTACCTATTCAATAAAATGAAGAAATAACTAGAAATAAAATGAAGAGAAAAAAAGAAGAGTTTTGACTTAGTTTAGTGAATGATTTATGATATTGTTAGTCCCAAATGAAAGAAATAAATGTCTTATTTCACTACGCCAAAAATAAGTTTTAGCAGCACATAAAAGAAAGCGCTTTTGGAAAAAAGCGCTGCTGTAGGTTTTAAAAAAATTCCCTTAAAAAAGCGCTTTCAAAGGGTTCCTTAAGAAAGCGCTTCTAAAAGTCACCCTTAGAAAGCACTTTTTGGGAAGCGCTGCTAAAGCTGGCCTTTCAGAGGGTACCTTAAGAAAGCGCTTTTCAAAAGCGCTGCTAAAGGTCAGCCTTAGAAAGCGCTTTTCCAAAGAGCTGCTAAAGCTGGCCTTTAGAAAGCGCTTTTAAAAGCGCTGCTATAGGATATGCTACGAAAGCGCTTTTTGATGTAAAAGCGCTGTTATAGATGACCTTTAGAAAGCGCTTTCGTAGGGGTAGTTGGTTGAGATGTTTTAGAGAACAAAATAATTAAAATAAAAATTTAAAACAAAGTTTAAAAGCAGAAAAAATTAGAAATGTTATTTGAGTGAAGATATGGATTCCGTGAGTCACACAGCATTACAATGTCCCCAAAGCTACCTTCACATCTATTCCCTTACCTCATCTTACTAACACTTGCATCCATTTATCTCTTCTCTTCTCTCATCTCTCTCCACACACCCTCTTCTTCAACCTCACAATCACTTTCAATCTCCAACTGTAACTTCTTCAAAGGCAAATGGGTTTTCGATCCAAATCACACCCCACTCTACGACGACACGTGTCCCTTCCATCGAAACACGTGGAATTGCATCAGAAACCAGAGGGAAAATCTAAGCTTGATCAATTCTTGGAAATGGGTTCCACGTGGCTGCCATTTGCCTCGGATCGGCCTGTTTCGGTTTCTTGGTGTGATGAGAAATAACAACGTTGGGTTTGTTGGGGATTCGCTCAATGAGAATTTCTTGGTTTCATTTTTGTGTATTCTTAGGGTTGCTGATGAGGGTGCACGGAAGTGGAAAAAGAAGGGTGCTTGGAGAGCCTACACAAGTATTGATTTCATTGAATAAAATTCAAATAATCTATTTTAGACACTTCCAAACCCATTCCAAGGACATGGATCTTCTCCCACAGTGCAGCAGTTATGCGTAAAACATTTCCACACCATACTTAGTATGGTGCACTTAAAATACTCTTTCACCGTTGCATTGTGGGAGAGGATATGAGTCCTTTTTATAAAGGTACGAGAGTGTTGTTAAATTGGCATAGTCTTCAGACTATGTTTCACAGTTTTTGTTTTGATATCTTACCCATCTTGTTTAAAAAAATTTATGAATAATAGGTTAAGTATCATAATGAGTTGCAACCTTTGTATTCAATTCTACCTTGGATAATCATTATGTTGTTTTAGTATATTGATATCGCACATGCAAATGGTGAAAGTTTAGAATTTGTTCTTAGAGCTTTGAATGTTTTTTATTTTTGTATGTACCCTGAAAATGGTGATTATTTGTGTCTTTAATTTTATCACAGGTAGCTTGGGGACACAAAATGTCAAAGTATTGAATTTGCACTTTGGTCAAAAAAACAGTTGGGCTTTCACAACATTTTGGTCCTAGAAGTTGGATCAATAGGATGCCACTGTAGTACACTAGTTTGGTTACGTCTCTACAGACAGTTAGATATTTAACCTCGTCTAATGAACAATCGACAGAGATCCAACGTAAGTTATTTATTGTTTGATATTCACAAGTTATTTTGTTGAATATGTGATAGAAATGCCGTTGTTCTAATAATCAATTTCTTTAAGCCTATTGAAAAATTCCTACCACCTATGATTTCTAGTGCATTATTTATGTCCTACTTAGGACTACGGAAACGATCTGATGCGTTCTTTGGACTATGTTGATGTCGTATTGTGTGTGCATTATAGTGAATAATCTGTATTTAGAATTTTCTCATTCATTAGAAATCAGAAAGCCTTTGCTGGTGCATCTCCAACCTTGATAACACAGCCTCAATCTCAATTGTTGGTTCATCTTCAGTATCTGCAACTATGCATCGATCTTTGCATCTTTCTTGCTTTTCCAGCATTGTTTCCATTGACTAGTTTGATTTTAAATTTATTTTTTCATTGCTGACACATTGGACCAGTCTCATCACCCAACTTACTTGCCGAATAACAAGATTCTTGGTGGCTGTCTCCTTCATAAAAGTGTTCTTCTTGCTGTGACAGATAGTTTTTGGGGAAGGCTGAGCCTCCTACTTGTTCGACTCACCCAAAACTTGTTAGGAACCTGGAAATTTTACTGAAAACAAAAGACTATTTTGTTGGAAGATTAAGAAAGATAGAAAGAAATAACTCTCCTTCAAAATTCTGTTATTTTTTATCAGGACTCTGTTGGTTTATATAAATATGGGATTCTATCAAAATACTAATGTGCTAATGCATTCATGCTGTGATCTGATTCACAATTAAAATTGTGCTTAAACTGACATTTTCATTATATTTAGTTTTTAAAACTGAAACTGTCAAATTACTATATAGTGATTAAAATATTACATGTGGCAAAGTCTGTTAACTTGATATGTATACCATAGTCTGACTTCTATTGATGTCCCATTTTTGATGATGCAACAATTGTTTCAAGGTCAGAAGAAGGTTCTGAAGAGATTAAACCTTCTGGTTTGACAAGCGAACAGATTCTCAATTTTAATGAGGTTAGTGCATAGTACATGTCATCATCTATTCTAGCAATCATAAGTCCAAAATCAATAAAACACATCCTAATTGATGATGACTTTATTAACTTGTGTAGTTTGCCACCATGGTTTGACCTGATTTTCATCGACCCGTTTCAATCTCTTTACAGGTGGAATTCCTCCTCACAAACGTATGCGACACAACTTCAATTGCAGAGCTTGAATTAAAAGTAAGTTATCATCCTTACTGACCAATGAATTTTAGTCTCTACATAAGCCCATTAATTAGGTACTCTATTAAATCTTGCTTCCTTTGTTGTTTCTTCTTCATCCCCATCTGCCCAACCATCAAATCATATCAACTTGATGGATTTCACCTGCGTGTAGTGAGGGGTTTGACTGAAAATACTAAAACCCTTCCTCCTCCAATTCCTGCTCTAGAAAGTATAAATTATGTCGTCGAAGCACCTGTTTCTACATCGTCATCATTGGCCATCTTCAATCCAGCACCTTCTTCATTGTCTATCCAGGGATTCCTAGACAAAGCTGCAGATGAAGGGTTGGTGATAATTCAATCTCCAGCGGTAAGAATCTAAAACAAATAGTATTTTTCATCCCTTCCAATAGTTTATTCTAAAGCCATAGAGCAGGTGGGCTTCTTCAGAAGATCTCGAACCATAAAGGGAAAACGTACTCCTCCTAGATGTGAAGAGGTACACTTCAAGGCCTCTCCTTCTCATTTTTTCTGTCAACTGAAATCTTGTTATCATAGTATCTCTCACATTCACCCCATGTGTATGTTGAGAAATCTACCATTTCCAAAAATAGTTTTTGATTGTGTGACATGTAAATTTTTTGACAGATGCAAATGATTGAGGAGGGACAAGTGATCTGTTACCTTGAACAGCTTGGTGGAGATCTGCCAATTGAGGTTTGTGTCAAAAACATTCCCTTATTTTCCAAATTCATATGTTACATATTTTATTTAGTTACTAGTACTACTATAAATAACTATTTCCTTCACATTTCTTTCTAGTCTGATGTCTCTGGGGAGGTCATCAAGATTTTAAGAAAGGATGGTGGTTAGTTAGTTACCTCAATTTTTTGTTTATTCATTGTTTGATCTTTATAGAGAGTCTTATGTGGATTTTGATTATCACTTTGTATGTTTGTCTTGTCGACAGATCATGTTGGTTATGCTGACGCACTTATAGCAGTTTTGTCGTCATTTCCCGGAATAAAGACGCTTCAATAGATCTTTCATATGCAGCATTCACACTCCATAATGAAGCCGTGTCTGGTGTCTCACACGTGTCGGTATCCAACACTCACATATCATTACATTCATTGTTGCTTATCATCGTTCGGTTTTTCTCTCCAAATATCAGTAACCTTCTCCTTTACCAATTCTTTTTCTTGTTTCCGGTTTCAAAGTTCAGAATTTTGCAAATAGCTTGTATTGGGTTGGTGAAATTTAGGGTTTATTTGGAAGAACCTACTTAAACAGATTTTGACTTTTAGGGTTCTGGTTTTACTTTGTTTCTTTCTTGTATACTTTTTTAAATGGAAACCATATGTGCTAATTACTGATTAAACAAAGGTGGCAGCCAAAGCAATCTGAAGTTGGGATACAAGATGGGTCAGAAGGTATTCATCGAGTTGACGTTGATGTTCCTGCAGATGAATGGGCTAAGATTGCAGGTTTCTATGATGTCCTGCTGTTTAATACTGGTCACTGGTAATTCTTTCAAACTTTCTTCCATCTTGAACTTCTAAATCATGCAGTGCCACTTGAAAAATAGTTTGACTTGTATTGTAACTGTCGGTATGCATTGCTAAAAAGTTGAATGAATAAGTAGTTATAGTCTAATATTAATTATGTTTTTATTTAAGGTTGTTATATGACAAATTGATGCGCGGGAATCAATTTTCAAACAGATTCCATTTCGTGTCTTCCTCCCGTGTCAGCGGAGCGACAATTGGTAGGGAACCGGATTCAGTAAGAGAGCACTTAGTCGAAAGATTCATGGCAACTGGCAGTACAAAAAGCTTATATCTTTGGGCGTATAATACTATTCCTACAAGGTTAGATTTTCATTCTAAGTTCATTTTAATATTTGTAATTTTTGCGTAGAAAATTTTCTTCTAAACTATTGTTTTAATTTATAGACGTTACTGGTTGTTGGTTGTTTTCGATCCTATAAAAGAAGTGGTCTATTATCTGAATTCGGTTGACGGTGATTGGACAAATTATTCGGATATGAAGTTAATGATTGATACGTAAGTAAGATTATTCTAAATATTTGTGTGTATTTATATATTTAATTATTTATGTGACATTGTTCTAAATATATATTTTTATTTTGTTAGAGCGATACAAGTATTCCGGTGTCAAAGAGAAGCTCGGGTACGACGGTCTAAATCAAACAACATTAATTGGATCAAAGTGCAGGTATATTAATTTCCACTATTTTGCTTATAATATTTATGCTATTTGATAAAACAATACAACTATATATTCTTATTTGTTTTTCTATGTAGTATCCTCAACAGCAAAACGGTATAGATTGCAGATACTTTGTTATGCGGTTTATCAAAGAAATCCTTCAACTGAATCAAATAGAGATTCCAGTCACGGTATGGATTTATAACTTAGAATTTATTTTATTATTTCTCGGATATTTCATATAATTTTTTACTTTTAACTAAATCATGCATATTATGTTTTGTTATGTAGTACTTCGATGAATACAAATATGCATATTACACGAAACTTCAGTTGGAAGAAATCAAAGAGGAATTGTGTCAATATTTTATTAAGCAGAGAATCATATAAGGTATGAATACATTATTATGTGAAATTTGTTATGAATACGTTACATGTGTACATGGAATACCATATTGACCGTGTTATTATGTTCAAACCTCGCAGGACCAGGGCCTTAATACATAATTGATCGTGTTTCTTTCATACATTAATACTGGTTTAGTTGTTGTTAGGGTTGATTTCGTAAGACTGATTTTGAGTTACAATGCTGATAACAATGGTTTTTATATATTTTGAGGTACAAAAATGGTATATATATATTTTGGATTACAATGGTATACAATGCATTACCGCGGTTTATGAATTACAGGTTATAGCAACTGGTTTATATAAATAATATGCTGTAAACAATGCAGGTATATGAATTATATAAATTATACCTCTAAAAAAAACATCCTATGAAAGCGCTTTTTCAAGAAAAACGTTGTTTAAGGTAAACATATGATAGCGCTTTTCCAGGCAAAAGCGCTGCTAAAAGACCACCTATGAAAGCGCTTTTCCAGAAAAAAGCGTTGCTAAAAGCCTACCTAAGACAGCGCTTTTCCAGAAAAAAGCGCTGCTAAAAGAAAACTTATGAGAGCGCTTTTCCAGAAAAAAGCGCTGCCTTAGGTAGACCTATGAAAGCGCTTCTTCATAAAAAAGTGCTGCCAAAAGCCTACTTAAGAGAGCGCTTTTTAGAAAAAAGTGTTGTATTAGGTAGACCTACGAAAGCGCTTTTCATTAAATAAAAAGCGCTGCTAAAATCTATAGCAGCGCCACCTTAGAAAGCGCTTTTAAAGGCCAAAAAAAGCGCTTTCGTAAGTCTTTTTTGGCGTAGTGTTTATAGGGTTAATGAGCTGAGAGTGTTGATGTGGCAGTCCATGTAATTTTATGAGAATGATTTTTAGTCATTGATAAGTCCAAGTTGACAATCTATGTGAAGTGTGAGAATGATTTTTGACCATTGATAAGTACACGTTGACAATCCATGTGAAATATTTGTACTGCATTATAGTCGTCCCAACTTTTCCTTATTGACACAAAGAAACAAAAGGATAAAGTAATAATAATAATAATAATATTAATATTAATAATAATATTAATAATAATAAAAAATAAAAGTGTTATTAATAATAATAAATACAAAATAGAACATAAAAGAGACATTAAATTAACTATTTATGATTTTTTTTCTTTAATTAAAATAAATGAAAATAAAAGTGTAAATTAAAAGATAAAAAATAAAATACATATAAGAAAGTAAAATGACTTATATAAATTTTTCTAGATTTTTTTTGAATAAATGATACCAATATATAAATTTAAATTAATAAAAGAACATATTTTTGATAATTTTTTAGTAAAGAAGTAAAAATAATAAATAAATAAAATAACATGATACTAAGTACTTTTTTTTTTGTGATTTTATAAATGGAAAAGAAATCATGAATAAAACACAATAAAAATTAAATTTCACTAAATTCATAAACGATTTCTAACGTTACTTTTCAAAATATCAAAATATCACAAAGAACCGTTCAAGATATCAAAATTTGAAAAAGTTATGAATTTTTGAAATCTGACTTATGAATTGACAAAAATATGTCAAATCACTCGTGAACACTTGCTATGCAATGATGCAGATGGATGATGGATCATATGTAAAAAATTAGGGTATGACAGTTCCATTTTGAGTAGCAGTCTTAGGGGCATTTTTGTTGAGTAGGTTGTTGTTGTCGTCCGATTTGATATGTTGCTTGGTCAGTATGTCCGAGTTTGTCAATTTTATTGGTGCAGATCAAATATATTCTATTCGAAAATCAACAATCAAAAGTGCATCGTCTTGCTTATATCGTTGGTTATGAGTTGGGGGAGATTCTGACTTGTTTCTTTTCCGTCCCAAATTGTTATAATACATGTTGGTTTGGTGCAGGTGTTTAGGTGATAATGTTTATGTTAGTATGACAAAGGTACTTTGAAGTTGGGGTTATTTTTGTTAGTGCAAAGTGATGAAATTGAGGTAGAAGAGAGAAAAAGGAATAAATGCTAAAAGCTGCCACAAATGATTGAAGAGAAATGATTGTATTAAATGTAAACCTAGTACACCTATTTATACACAAAAGTAGTAAAGATAAGAATGCCACAAGGGCCTAAAGAGAATATCCACAAATGACAAATACTAAATTACCCTTTAATACCATCCTGTAATTTAGTAACTATCAGAAGTTAACAACACCAATTTCATCTCTCAAGCGAAGAAATTGATCTGTTTTTATCGTCTTTGTCAGAACATATGCCAGCTGCTTCTGAGTGCTATAGTGCAGAACTTCTAACACTTCTTTCTGCACTTGACTTCTGAGGAAGTGATACTTCATCTCAATGTGCTTGCTTCTTCTATGTAGCACTGGATTCTTGGCAAGATTAATTATAGACTTATTATCAATCATCAGCTTCAGAGGTTCCTCAACTTCAACCTTCAGATCATGCAGGAGATTCAGAAGCCAAATTGCTAGACAAGTAGCTACAACACCTGCAATGTATTCATCTTCACATGTTGACAAAGCCACAACAAGCTGTTTATTGGAACTCCAAGAAATTGGACCTCCCAGAAACTTGAACAAGTACCCAGAAGTACTTCTTCTGTCAACTCTATCTCCACACCAATCAGAATCAGAATAATGTAATTGCAAGCTTCTCAAGTCATATTTAAAGCATGTGTTTTGATGAAGACAACATGGACCTCAACATTCAAAGGATGTGCAAAAAACTTATCAACATCAAATAAAAGTCTTGAAGATTATTGAAGAATTATTGAAGAAATCATCAAATGTCAATATGGTATAAATAATTCTTTAAACCTTGAATATAGATGTTCACAATATGCATTCATCAACATATACATATTCCATAATTTTAACATCAAGAAAAACTTTGTTTGAAATATCTTTCAAAATGTATTTTTGAAAATAAACCTTTAGGAACCGGTTCCTCCCTAACAGGGAACCGGGTTCCAGCATTTCTCAAAAAACATGGTTCTGGTTTTTGTACCAGGAACCGGGTTGTACCAATAGGGGAACCGGTTCCTGCGTGTAAATTTTTGAATTTCAAATTCTAACGTTCACTAAGAACCGGGTTCTATCAGTGTCGGAACCGGTTCCTAGCGAACCAATGCAGCTTTTACTTTGTTTTTTGAACATTTTTCAAGTGGTATCTTTTCATGAATGCATTGCATCTTTTCATATGAATTGGCATGAATGAAGAGGTTCTTACAACTTTATAAAATGCAGATTTTCTTATTTCAAACAATAATTCAATACTTCAATTTTCAAATTAACAAATATCCTTCTTCATTAACAATTTTCTCATTTACTCACATTTGAAATTACACTTTCATGTGTTCATAATTTTGTGAAACTTGCCATACACTCTTTCATTATCATTTCAAGTTT